GCAAGCCCCCCGCCAGCCAGCCCCCCCAGCTGCCCTGTGCCAGTCCTCGGGAAAGCCCCCCGCCAGTGGAGGAGGCATGCACCGGCCAGGTTTGCAGCGTATTTGCTGGGGGGGGGGGCGGGGGGGCACAGCCGCATTGGGCGAGGGAACCACGAAACGCCCGTGCGGTGCTGGCGGCTGTTGCGGGACGGAAGCGGAACGGAACCAGGGAGGACGCGCCCAGGCGAGAGGCGCTCCGCACGTCCGCGGTGGTCGCGCCCCGCCTGCGCAGCGGTCCCAGGCGAGCGCCCGCCGCCAGCGAGTGAGGAACAGGCGCATGGCGGGTCCCAGAGAGGCGCCCCGCGCCCAGGGAGCATGCGCTGCAGTGCCCGGGCGCGGGGGCCGGCGCGCAGGGAGGGACCCGGGAGGCCGCCCCGCCGCGCCCCGGTTGCGCCTTCCCGGAGGACGGGCCCGAGGGGTGACCCAGCCCTGGCGGCGCCCGCCCTCGCCCGCCCCGCTTACCTGCAGGATCTTGCTCATCTTGCCCAGCTGGAGCATGAACTCGTCCGTGCAGGCGATGCCCGACGGGGAGTGCCCGCCCCCGACCACTTTCACCTTCTTGCTCTTCTGCCTGGCCAGGTCCAGGATCTGCGGAGACACCGACCGCACGCCTGTGTGCCGGACCCGCCCTGGCCCGGCTCCCCTGGGGTTCGACCCCGCGGGAGTTTGGCGCCCGCTCTGGCGATTCCGGCCAGCGGGGCCCGTGGCCGCAGGGCAGTGCCGTCCGGCGTCTCGGGACGCCACGCGCTCGAGGGGGGCTGCTGTGGCGCACGCGAGGCCCGGAAGAGAGAGCCGGGGTGCTCCAGCTTTCTGCACCCCACCCCGCTGAAGAAAGCAGGGCTCTTTAAGAATCCCCACCTCGAAAACTGCTAGGTTTTGAATTCTGATAATGAAGATGTCACTCTTTATTGCATAAGGGCTTTACCTTTACATATGTGTTTTATATGTTTTTAGCTTTATCTTTTTTGTAAGCTCCTTGAGACTACAGTAGTAGGTGGCATATTGCGTAATGAAAGTATAAATAAATCAATATGCACAACTTCTGAAAAGCACAATTCAAAGTGTGCATTTTTAAAAGTACACTTTTCCTAACACAAGGGGACTAACAATGTGAAAGGGGTGCAGAAGGCAAGGAGATGCCAGGGGTGCCTTTACACCCCCTTCCTTTTCCAGTATTGCCCTGTTCTAAGGAAAAATAGGGACACTTGTCTGGCTGGAGACGGTGGGATCTGGCCAGCCTCTTAGGAACAGGCCATGGTTGTGATGAGTTGGATCGGGCTGGACGGAAGCCTTTATTTCTTTAAAATATTCTTGTGTTCAGAGCATTTCCAGGAAAGACTCCCGATTCCTCCCCCACCGCTAAGCAGACTTCAGCCAGAATGCCCAGAATAAAAGGCCTAATCGAGAAGCCCAATGGAAGGCAAGGGGATTTTGCAAATTCCAGGCACGAAGATCCCTCGCCTTTGTGCTGATTGGCCAACTGGGCAGTCTTCGTGGACTTTGATTCCCCTTAAATTTTCCAACATGCCTGTCAATGAATCACACGCAGAGACAAGGCCGCCGAAAGTCTTTGCTGCGGTTACTATTTCGGTGTTCTGCCTGGTCAGCCATTCCCTCCGTGGTGCGGTCAGAGCCCTTCTTGGACTGCAGATCTCAGCCAACGTGGGGAAAGAGAGGTGCCGGGGTGGGGGGTGACCCTCTGCGTGCTCGGACAGGGAGAATTCTGCCCCACAGCCGCCCAGCTGGGAGCTGCAGGCCTTCCCCTACCTGGACATACGCAGGCAAGCACTCCATGGGCGCGCCTGGGAGCCTGCAGTGGGAATCGGGTGCTTTGACCTGCCTGCCTCCAGGTGGACCGTGCCGCCCTCCTCGTCCTCCTGCACAGGAGCCTCGGAGATGGTCTGCATTGGTCAAGTCCAAGCAGACGATTCCCAAACCCGTGGGCACCCCCAGTGCCTCCTCCACGT